CTAGATCCTCATGCATGCCAGACAAGCACCCAACCAACTCAGCTACACCCCTAGCACATACTACACATTTTGATAACTCTTTCTAGTAAAGTTCTGAGCTTGGGAAAATGGGCTCACAACTTTTCTCTTTTTCCCAAGATCTTTTAGGTTATTCTGGGTGCCATGAAATTCCGTATTACTTCTAGAACCCGATTTTCAGTATATATGTATTTAAAAGTCAGCTGGTGGGATAGGGCAGGTAGGGGGAGAAAATCAGCTGGTGTTCTAATGAGTCACTTGGGGTGCGTGGGTCACTTTGGGGAATGTTGCTTTTCATGCTTATAGCTTCTTCCATTCTTAAACTTTTAACTGATCTTTGAGTCTAAAGTATGTCTTACACAGATGACATATAATTGAATCTTTTAAAAATCCAATGAAAGTCTGTGTCTTGATGGGATTCAGAAGAAAACACCAAAACTACAATATTCACATTAAGACTCAGTGGCAGAAAACATACTTAGCATGTGAAAAGCTGTGTATTAGATTTCTAGTAACCCCAAGAAAAAATATTCTCATTCATTATTCTATCCTGTTTTATTATATATTACTTATATGTTATACTTGTTATTACTGATGTAGTTGTACTTAAGTCTGCCATTTTTCTTTTTCTTCTTGTCTAGTGCCTGTTTTGTTCTTTTTGTTTTTTTTTTTAAAGATTTGTTTATTATGTATGTAGTGTTCTATCTGCATGTACATTTGCCCACCAGAAGAGGGCACCAGATCTCACTATAGATGGTTGTGAGCTTTAGCTATAGGGTGCTGGGAATTGAACTCAGGACCTCCGGAAGCTCAGGCAGTGCCTTAACCTCTGAGCCATCTCACCAGCCCCTGTTTTGTTCTTTTAGTCCTCCTTTACTACTACTACTACTACTATATTGTTTTATAAAAATTTTTTAAAAACTTTGTTTGAGGTTTTTGGTGTCCTTGTGTCATGTGAGCTCCACCATGAAATCCCCCTCCTCAAGACAGAATCTTGATATGATCTGTAGTCCAGAATGCTCTCAAACTTGAGATCCTCCTGCCTCAGCTTCCCAGTGCTGGGCTTATATAGTGCACCACTCTTGCTTTTTTTTTTCCTCCCATCCTCTTTTCCCTTTTTCCTCACTACTTTTATGTTAAGTAAATGTTCTGTAATTTGACAAGTGCTCTCACCTTTGAGCCATATCTCCAGCCCCAGTTTTTTTTTTTTTCTTTTTTTCAGCATTAGTTATTTTGAGAACATGTCTTTTTTTTTTTTTAAGACTTGTTTTTTTGAGACTGGGTTTCTCTATGTAGCACTGGCTGTTGGAGCTAGCAATGTAGACCATACTGACCTTAAACTCACAGAGATCTGCCTGGGATTAAAAAGGTGTGCCAGGTTTAAGACTATGTCTGCAGTTGGATGTGGTGGCTCACACATGTAATCACAACAGTCCAAAGGCTGAGAAAGGAGAATTGCTACCTTGAACTACATAGTTTCAGGTTGGCCTGAGCTGTAGAGTGAGTCTGTCTGAAAAAAATTTTTTTAAATGGTACATGTATCTTCTAAAGTATGTATAGAAGATACATTTAGTATGTATAGAAGATACATTTAGATACCACTCATTTAGTTGGTACTTGTATTTGTGTCTCTATATGTGTATGCATGTATTTGTGTGTGTCACTATATGTACATTTTAGTGTGTGTGAACAGGCCTCACATGCATGTGGCAGCCAGAGGTGTGGGTACTGGTCATGAAACTCAGGCCCTCTGCAATAGCAGCAAGTGTTCTTAACTGCCGAGCTGTCCCTCCAGCACAAGATACCAGTTTTAAATTGTGAATTACCCTGCATGATAACTCACGATTGTTTTATGGAGATGGGACTATGGCAGTCATGTGGAAGGCAATGACTATGGGCGATGACTGCTGTGAAGCCTAAATGCCAACTAATTTACAAAAACCAATCAAGAGAAGGTGCCCTCATTTAGGAATTTCAGTTAGTGTTTTAAAACAGCAAGTTTAAGCAATCCTCTTGGCTCTTCCTATTTTCTTAGACCTGATAGGAGGAGAGTTGAGTCTCAGCAGCAGAGAGGGGTGAGCCAGTAAGGGGGCCTGGTTTCCACTCCCACCCTGTCACTTACCAGCCCTATGTTTTATCCTATGGCTGTATTTTCCTACCTGTAAGATAAGAATAATAAAAAAATCACCCTCACATTTTATAACTGAAGAAAGAAAGCATTTTGAAAGTATTCAGACTCACTATAATATATAAAATGTAATTATTGACATTGGAAATTGAGGTTACGACATGGAAAAAACCCACTGTTCTATTTTTTTCCCTTTTGGTGTACTTTTCTAGGTGAATGTGCCTCTTAGGAGCATTTGTCTGGGAGAGTCTGGGGTAAGCTTGGGCTGCACAGATAGGCCACGCTCTCCAAAGGCCTCGGAGCAGCTCAGCCTGCATCGTGTCCCGAGTATCAAGCATGAAGTATATTTATTCTACAAAATGATAAGTAAATATGAGAAAAAATCTAAAGGATCCTATTTTGAAAATAAACGTAAGAAAATCAAGGAAAACTAAAACCATATCCTGGGTTACACGTGCCATTTTCTTTTACTGGGCTCCTGGTTCTTTGAAGATCTCTTAAATGGTGGCTTGGATCATTTGGACATTTTATGTCACTTTTAGACACCCAAATTACAGAGTTAAAAAAAAATACCAGTGATAGTAAGTAGAAGGAAATACACAAAACATAAAGGTATTTGAATCTTTGAGATTGAGTTGAAAATGAGAAGCAGGAAGCTGCCCACAATGGCACAGGACTACAGGGACTCCATGAGGAGCACATCCCCTGAGCGACTAGCTGTCACTCTTAAGAGAATCCATGGTGGATATGAGAGGCTTATCAGAATCACAAAATACACTGAAAACCTCTGTACAGAGAGGGTCCAGTGTTCAACTCAACAAGCATACTAGAAAATGGACATGAGCTTAAGAAGTCTCCCTCTTGTTCTGTTTAGAATAGGAGTATCAACAATGTTCTAGCTGTCATCTTGCTTCCACTTACCTTGTAGAAGATTTACTTCCCAGTATGTATCATAGAATTTGTACTTAAAACTCAAAACTGTCTTTGTATAGAATCTTCCAGTGGTTCATGATATTTTCCCTTTCAAAATGTTGACATTTAAAAAATTGTTACTCAGAAAATGAAAACAATCCTAGGGTTGCAAGTCAGCTTTCAAAAAACTATAGCTGTCCAACCTGGGGTCTGTGGGTAGAGCTAAGTCGTCAGGTATTGCCTGGCATGCTCCAAGCCCTGGGTTCGAATCTGTATTCATCAAGCATGGCTATACAGCCAGGACTCTTACTTGGTTACATAGAGAATTAGAAGCCAGCTTGGGATTCATACAATTCTAATTTGGATTTTAACAAACTTTTTGCTCACTTCCACCACT